CCCCCCCTTTTCCAGGCGTAAGATTATAATTTGAAAGTCCCCTAATCGTGCTCGCACGGTTTTTAGAGAGGAGAGAAAGGAAGAAAGATGTAACAACCCATACCAGAGCACCCGCCAGACACCCACCAACAGTGAAACGGTTATAAGTGAAGGACAACTAGATCCTGATTTTTTTTCTTCCCCAAAGGGATTCTAAAGTAAGTACGAAAGCGGGTCGGAAAAAGTCGAAGACGGACCAATGTTGGATGTATATTAGGTGAGGTGGAACAATTCATAACTGGATATCCGAATTGTGACCCAGATTCGCTGTGGGCACCTGGCGCTCTCTCTCTCTCTCTCTCTCTCTCTCTCTCTCTCTCTCTCTCTCTCTCTCTCTCTCTCTCTCTCTCTCTCTCTCCTGCAGGTCATATAGTAAGCCCTGTCGCGCCAGGTTACACAACAAACGCAATTTCTTGTGTCTTTCCTCCACAGTGTTCACGGAAATGTGCAAAGTGTACAGTTTTTGAGTGCAGTGTATGATTCAGAATTATTCTTGTTAGCGATGTTAGTGTGTGCGTAGGCTTATAGTGTAAGTGCTGGCTCTTCTATCCTCGTTACGTCGCTTATGGATTCTACCTTGTTTTGTATTTTTCTTTATAAATTGCAGTGTGATTTCCGCAGTATAATACACCACTTTCAGCAATTCAATCAGTATGTGTGCCCTGTGTCAATGGTGCAGTCTGTTGAGAAAATTGGGTCTGTCTGATTCAAGTATAATATTTATATAGGGAATGCATTGCCTACCTCTTATTAGGCTTATACTTCCCTCAAGTATTATTATTTGGAAAGCTTTGCCCATATCTCATTATTTGTTTCAATTATTACTGGGAATGTATTTGCCTTCTCTATTTACTAGCCTAGGTTTAACTTTTAATATTTAATTTATATCTCTCTGACTCTCATTACTTGGTTCTACAAGTCAGTTTAGAGAGCCGTCACTTCGCCCAGATTCGCGTATCTGGGTCACCAGCTGATCGTGGAAATGAACGTGGTAAACAATTATACAAACTGCGTTCATTGTTCAGGCGTGTTCGTTGATCACTGACTACGTGGCTCCAGTTAACTCGGTGTGTTAATGGAGTTCTGCTGTAAGTGTAAGCTGCACCAATTCCAGAAAGAAAAATCCAACTTTAAATTTGTTTCGATTCCCAAAGGATGACGAAAGGTAAGATAGATATCTAGATCTAGTCTACTTAAGTAAGACCGTATTTTTTTACGAATAAAAAAATAAAAAATAGAAGCAAAACAGTGACTACATATGTGACTGTGGTCCTACCAGACGGACACTCCTTGCACAAACTCAATACACTTCGACTTCGTTATATAAATCGTTAGGTCATCAATAGCCATTATTTTTTTTTATTTATTTTTTTTGGTAAAGTGTTTTATGGCGCTCGCAACTGCATAATGTCATATGAGGACGCGGGACACACCTAATATTTTTCAGTTGGGAGGAAATTTTGAATTTTGCCCGGGTGGCGGCCGAAGCCTGCTCTTGTCGATTTTAGACCAAGGGATCTTTAACGTGCGCAACTTGCACACAGGCCCTCCGAGATTTTTTCGCCCTTATCCGAGAAGGCTAGATGTAGATCTTTCCTACCAGAAGATCAGGGGTGTGGCAGAAAGACAGCAGTAAGGAGGAGCCAAGGAGTAGCAGTAGAAAGGCTGCAGAAAGAGTCAGGAG